AGAGAGAGAGAGAGAGAGAGAGAGAGAGAGAGAGAGATGAGCGATCCAAGATTGGTTGTCACTTACCTGTAAGGCGAGTTGCGGAGTCCGGTGGAGAAGGAAGACAGCGGCCATAGCCGAGGAGCATCAACACAGAGTACCGGAGGAGAGAAAAGGAGGACAGAGAAGGAGGGACTAATGAGAGAGAAGAAGAAGTGTGGAAGGAGGAGATTGAAGAAGAAGACAGACATAGCCGAGGGTGAACAAAAAAAAAAAAAAAAAAAAAGAAGGAAGAAAGTGAAGGAAGGGGAAGTATACGGTGAGGGTGACGAAGGTGGAGGTGCCGGCAGCCATAGCCGAGGTGAGGAGTTGACCGGGCGTTGACCAGACCGTTGACCAAAGGGTTGACCAAGGGTTGACCAGAGGGTTGACCAGGCGTTGACCAGGGGTGTTGACCAAGCGTTGACTGGGGTTGACCGCGTTGACCCAGCGTTGACCAAGGCGTTGACCGGAGCTCCTGACCAAGATTTTGACCAAGCTGGAGTTGGTGATATCTCGTTGATCTGTGTCTGACGACTCGACTGTCCCGAGGGATACGAACCCCTCCAAGGACCGGTACAGACCGGCGGGCTGGTCGGTGTGGCACAAACGGCTGGTACGACTGAGTTGTGGGCTGAAATCGCCAGGAAGAACTACGCTGATCACGTCGTCCTGACTGCGACGTTAAAGAATTCTTGCGGAGTTTGGGGGATCTCCTTAAATGCCTCCTGATCAGCTGTTGGTTCTGTAGTGACAGCCTTAGAGTAGTTGTGAGTAGTGGTCTTTAGAAAGTCAGTCAGTAGGTCAGTGTCCGGGTAGGTCTAAGTGGTAAGGAGTGGGACTCTTGTCGTGCACCTACCACCACGATGGACGACTATCCGATGTATGGGTTGCTGGTTGGGTTCTCTCTCTGGGGGACCCTCTGGCGCCTCCTCTTTCCTCCGGGGTTCTGGCACGCGATGACGTGTAGAGTAGATACCCGGGGTGGTACTTCCACCAAGCCATATTCAAAGGAAGAGGAGAAGAAGATGGCCGCCATTCTGCAGGAGAGGAAGGAGAAGAAGGAGGCCAAGACGAAGGCCTTGAAAGAGGAGAAGGCGGCCAAATTGAAGAAGATAGAAGAAGAGATGGCAAGAGAGAAGGAGAGAATAAAGAAGGAAGAGGAGGCGAAGTTGAAAGAGGTGAACGAGGAAGAGGAGGAAGGTCCGCCACTGCAAAGAAGTAGTGGGCAGCACAGTGGCAGCAACGGTGGGGAACTGGAGAAGAGGATATCCGAATGGGTTGCCAATCTGTCTGTGGGAGAAGAGGAAGAAGTTAGCATGTACATCCCACAAGATCAGCAAGAGGCTGCCATGAGGGCTTGGGATGCAGAGAAAGATCCCCTCAGACGACAGGCGTTGGAAGACGAGAAGAGGATGGAGTGGAAATTGGCAGTGATGAGGGAGAAGAAGAGAAGAGTTGACAAGGCAGCGGAGGCGGCGGAAGAATTAGAAGAGGTTAAAAAGCTAGAAGAGTAAGTAGCCGCCCAGACTGAACTCCCAGCCCAGATGCGAGTCATAGCCCGAAGCGTCGCACGCCTGACACGGATTCAGGCGGACCAATATGACTTCAATAGGAGCCAAGATATAGCTGTGCGCTCGATACGACTGGGCTTTCGAGACTTTGCTCGTGAGTTGGTAGGCGCTGTTGGAGCCGAGGTGGGTCATCGCCTCGACAAGACTGAGCAACTTTGCGCTGGCGCCATTGAAGGCGTCAAGGCGGCAGCTCCCAAGGAGGAGGAAGCACGTCCTCCTCGCCGGGAGCGGTCAAGGTCAAATTCCCTGATTCCTACAGTGGAAAAAGGGAAGAGAACTTTGACAACTGGGAGGCCAACGTTAAGACCTATGTGCATCTGCATCAGCGGGTTCTGATCGCGATCCACGCGCTTAAAGATGAGGCCGCCAGCTTTGCAAGGTCCCTAGTTCGCATTGCTAATTGCAACGACGATCCAGTTGCATATTCGTCGTTCACTCCCCTCACCGATTTTATGAAATTGCTACGCGAGCGATTTGCAAACGGCGCTCGCAGTGTCAAGGCCTCAGACAAGCTCCAAACCATCCATTCTCGTAAATGGAAGAGTGTCAGGGCACTCAAGGGTACAATGGATGAGTTGGTGGCCGTCCCTGACCACGGGGTCACAGAGGGCCAGTTGGTCAACCTCTTTTACCGGGCTATGCCCGAAGCCTTTCGAGGGTAGTTCTTCGCGAAGAGCGAAGACCCCGCCACCACTTACGATTCCCTTAGTCGTGAGGTGGTGGTTTTTGAAGCTAAGTACGTGTCCCTGTCTACCTTCTGGCACAAGGACTTGGACAAGGGTAAGCAATGAAAGGGCCGCACTATCTCAGGGCAAGTGAAGACTAAGGACGGTCGGACGACATCAACAACTTGGATCCATATACTCCCATGAGTTCTTGCCAGTTCTGGCTAGTAAAGCGACTGTCTCTATCGCTAACTATAGACAGTGGGATTCCATTCTCGCTCACCCAACAGTCAAAAAATCTCTGTATGACTAAATCAGTACGTGCCTCTGAAGGCAAAGGAACAAAAACTGCGTACTTACTAAATCGGTCAACTATGACCATGACTTGGCTCTTACCATGCCTACTCTTGACTTGGGTGTCCATGAAGTCGATGGACACTGAATCTCCCGGCTGGTCCGGAATGGGCAAGGGTCTGAGAAGACCTAGCGGGGCGCGCGTAGAACTCTTGTTACGCTGGCAGACTTTGCAACTGCGAACATACTCTACGCAGTCATTCGTCATCCCTGGCCAGGTATACGCGCGCATTAGATTGGCTAAAGTCTTTTGCCAACCGAAATGACCCTCTGTGTCGTGGCATTCCCCCAAAATCAGACTACGAATCTCTTCATTGTTGGGAATGCACAACCGGTCGAAGACGTTAGTCTTCTCAAATAGCAACCCTTCAGTAGTGCGGTAGTTCGGCTCAGTCTCTGGGGCCTCTTTGACCTTCTTAAGGAGGTCACTATAGATAGGGTCCTGCGYGTAGGCCTCTCTAACCTTCTGCTGTAGGTCCTTCCCTATATCGAGATAATGCACTATCGCCCCAAAGTAATCTGCCCTCCTACTCAGAGCATCCGCAACTACGTTGTACTTCCCTTTGACAGGCTTGAGCTCAAAGTCTTACTGATATATTTCTGCGGCCCACCTAGAAAGCTTAGGTGTCATCTTGGCCTGCGTATTTAACCATCTCAATGTCTCGTGGTCTGAGTAGACTTTGAAGTGCCTCCCAAGCAAGTAATGCTTTCAGTGGTCTAACGCTTGCCTGAGAGCGTAGAGTTCCCTCTCGTAGGTAGATGTCGCGACCTTCTCTGAAGGCATTCTGGCGGACATGAACTCTACGGGTCTATACCCATTGCCATCGTCTTGCTGTAACACTGCGCCTATGCCGTATTGACTCGCATCGGTCGTGACGACAAAGGGCAAGGACGGGTCGGCGACTTTAAGGACTGGATACTCTATCAATGCCTGCTTTAACTTTCTCATGGCAGACGTGCAATCCTTATCCCACTTCCAAATAGTTTCCTTCCTCAACAATCTGCGAAGGGGCGCAGCGATGGTGGAGAAGTTCCTCACGAACTTCCGGTAGTAATTAGCTAAGCCCAGGAACGAGCGCAACTTTGTCAGCGTACGTGGCGTGGGCCAATGTCTAATCGCTGCGATCTTGCTATCCTCTGGCTTAACGCCGTCTCCGTCTAAGACGTGGCCTAAGTACAAAACTTGGGTTTTCGCTAAAACGCACTTCTTTGCATTAATCTTGAAGTTAGCTTCCCTCAGCTTCTCCAAGACCTGCCTGAGATGACCCTGATGCTCTTCGAGGGTCCTGCTAAACACTAGAATGTCATCTAGATAAACTACAACAAATCTGTCTAACCACGGCCGAAACAAATCGTTCATACAGCGCTGGAACGTAGTTGGCGCATTGGTTAGTCCAAAGGGCATCACTATGAACTCGTAATGCCCGTACCTAGTCCGGAAGGCTATCTTATACTGATCATCAGGATGTACCTCTAGACTTTAAGTCTATTTTAGAGAAATACTTAGCCCCCTGCACTCGATCTAAAAGATCGTCTATCCTAGGCAGTGGCTCAGCATTCTTCACTGTAATAGCATTCAGACCCCTACAGTCTATACACATCCTCAGCTCTCCCTCTTTCTTAGGAACGAAGAGAACAGGCGCTCCAAAAGGAGACGAACTGGGCCTAATCCAACCCTTCACAAGGAGCTCGTCTATTTGCTTGCGTAGCTCCTCTAATTCCCGCGGGGACATCCTATACACAGCACCCTTAGGAGTTCTACTGCCAGGCTCTATCTCAATACGATGTTGGATGGGCCGCGGCACCGTGCCTGTTGGCGGCTCAGTCGAATCCTTAAACTCTTCCAGCAGCTTGGCAATCGCAGGGTCCATCGACCTTTTTTCCGTAGGCTCAGTCATTGGCCTAACATAGGCAACAAAAACCTGTTCCTCCAATTTCTCTTTTTTCACCAATCTGGCGAACGCAGGAGCACTAAGATAGCAATGTGCCAAGGGATTCTCTACTCTTGACACATGGAACAGGCGGGCAATCTTGGCCTCGCCTGAAGAACTAGGGAGCCTACACCCGTGCTCCTTCAAATGGAGCGTGGCCCCGGCTGCCTCTCCCCAATCCATTCCCAGGACAATATCAAATGGGAGGCTATCTTCTACGAGGAGAGTCGGGGAGTGGAGGACCTTCTCCACTTTCCCATCCTTCTCTAGGCGAAAATACGTCTGGACTCCCTGTACATACTCCTTTACAACCATAGTACGATTGTCTGCGAGGATACTAACTATGGGGTTTGTCAATTTTTGGACTTTAAGTCCCAGCCTCAACTTTTGCAGCGCTTTCTTACTGATATAGCTGCGGGTGGCCCCCGAGTCTACTAGGGCCCCTACTCTACTTCTAAAAATCTCTGTATCTAGTAAAATCAGCTGCACTTTATTCTCCTTCTTCATCTTGGCCCAGGCGGGCCTCCTCTCCTTCAACTCTTCGGCTACGCCTATGAGGGAGGTGTCTAGAGAGACCCTAATACAAGCGGTCTCTGGGCAGCTATCTAGACACCGGCCTGCAACCTCTGCCATAGGCTCATGTGGTGTGGGAGTCTCCTGCCGGCTAGCGCTATGTTCCCCACATGGCCTAATGGTAGGGGCAGTTGCTACCCCTACCAGCGGCCGCCTTTTGGCCCTTGAGCAGCCGTTCGGGTCTCTCGATACTTAGGACAGTATTTGATGATATGGCCCGGGTCACCGCAGAAAATGCACTGGCCCCGGTCCAATCGTTGTTGCCATAAAGTCTGGTCCAGACCCAAAGTTTTCCAAGGCCTACCCTGCGGTAGCCCCGGGTGCCATCCTCCTACCCTATAGGGAGACCTATTCCTAGAACGGTTTTGCGGGGGACCTTGACCCCTGCCTCCCGCTTGGCGGTTTCCTCCTCTGCCGCCAACCACCTGATCGCCTTGAAACCGGCTCCCTGAGGCTCGGCCCCCTTGGCCCTGGCCTCGTCCTCCTTGCGGCCTCCCTCCAGCCGCGACAGCAGCGTAAGTCCTCCCCTGGCCCACACCTGTCCTCCTCCTCTAACCCCCACTCAATCTGATCGTAGGGGATCTCGTCCACACTACCCTCATCTAAGGTCTTAACTGGGATGAGATGTTGCCTAAAGTAGCTAGTGCATACAATAACAGCGTGCATCTGTCTACATGCCGCACTCCCAATGAACTGCACAAGTCCTTTAGACCGCGCAGACCGTTTGAGGGACTCAACCGGGATCAGATTCACAGGTTGTCGCCCGGAACCATGGAGTTTGCTGTACAGCACGAGAAGGAACTAGCTACTGTCGTAGAGAACCTCAGGAAAGCCCAGCATCGGATGATAGAGCAAGCAAACAAACATCGTCGCCCGTCACAGTTTCAAGTAGGCGACTTAGTCTGGGTTAGTTCTAGAGAGTTTGCACCTGAGGAGAACATCTCGCAGAAGTTACTGCCCACATATAGAGGACCGTGGCCCGTTCTAGAAGTCAAGGGCGGCGAAGATGGACCGTCCTATACTATAGAACTCCCAGCACACCTCCACACTTACCCACTTTTCCATGCGTCGAAGTTGTTACCTTGTCAAACAAGTGATCAATTTCCATCCCGTAGATCTATGATACCGCCCGATATGGATGGAAGATATGACATTGATGGTATAGTGGCTGAAGATGTCTTCAGAACTGGAGGTAGGGGTCGTCCGCAGAAACAATACAAGGTTCATTTTAGTTATCAAGAACCGGAAGACGACCGCTGGTTTACAAGATCTGAACTTCTAGAGACAGCTCCCGATATAGTCCGGGCCTACGAGAGACAACAGCGAGGTAAAGGTCCTGTCTTGGACTGAAATTTTCTCGGAGGACCTCGAATTTAGGCCGGCGGGAGTGAAACGGTATTCACCAGTTCGCAGTAGCGAATGCAGATCCCAGGGCTCGATCCCTAGTTCCCCATCTTACCTGTGTACAGTACTGATGTCAACCCGTAGATT